GGGGACGGCGTGCGCGCGCTGGTGGGCCCGCAGCGCCGCGCGGCTCGGGCAGCTCTGGCCGCAGCTAGGGCAGCGCGCCGCCTGGGCGCCCGGCAGGTGCGTGCGCTGGTGCTTGAGCAGGTGCTGCTTCTGGCGGAAGCTGCGGCCGCAGTGCAGGCAGGGGTGCGGCCGCTCGCCCGTGTGGTTGCGCAGGTGCCGCGTCAGGTTGGGCTTCTGGCTGAAGCGGCGGCCGCACTCGGGGCACGGGTAGGGCCGCTCGCCCGTGTGGATGCGCTGGTGGATGTTCAGGGACGACCACCACGTGAAGCTCTTGCCGCACTCGTTGCAGATGAACTGGCGCTGCTCACCCGGCCCCGCGGCGGCGGCGACTGCGGCCCGGGCCCCCGCCTGGCGCCACCAGCCCTGGCAGAGCCCCAGCCAGGCCCACTCGGGGCGGCCCCGCGGCGGCCCGGGCCGCAGGCGACAGCCCCGGCGGGCGGCGGCGTCCCGCAGCAACTCCTGCAGCCCGGCGCGGGCACCCTGGCGGTCCCGGGCGTGCGCGCGCTGGTGGATGCGGAGGCCCACCTGGTGGCGGAAGCAGCGCGCGCACTCGGGGCACGAGTGGGTGGCGGGCCGCGAGTGGGTCTTCTGGTGCTTGAGCAGGTGCTGCTTCTGGCTAAAGCGCCTCGCGCACTCGGGGCAGCAGAAGGGCCGCTCGCCCGTGTGGTGCCGCTGGTGGCGCGCCAGGTTGGGCTTCTGGCTGAAGCTCTTGCCGCACTTGCCGCACAGGTACGGCTTCTCCCCGGTGTGGGTGCGCTGGTGTATCTTCAAGGATGACCACCAGCTGAACCTCTTCCCGCAGTCCAGGCACACAAAGTGACCCTCGCCGGCAGAAAGAGCCCGGCCTGCCAGCCCCGCCGCCTGCTCAGTGGGAGGGGCCCACCTTGTACCCCCAGTCTCCTCCTGTCCCCCCAAGGCCCGAGGCTTCCCCATGGTCTGGCATGGCGGGAGGCTCCGATGTTGCTGGAAGATGTTTTCCTTATCCTTCTCGGAAAGCTCGGCCTGCGGCACCAGCGTCTGCAGCATCCACTCTGGCTTCTCTGGCTTGATCTTCATCACCAGCCCATCTCCTGCCAGAGGCAAAGGGAGAGAGAGGACGGGGAGAGTCATTCACTGCCCCGTGGGCAGGCGGGAAGGAAGTGCCGGGTGGGCGGAGCATAGAAAACGCGGCGGGAGGAAAGGATGCTGAAGAGAGCGCGGAAGAGGACACGAGGGGAGAGGGAGAGAGGCCAGTCAGAGAAAGGCTGCTTGGGATGTGCAGAAGGAAAAGTACAAGAAAGGAAGAGACGCTGCAGTTCCAAGTCCACACCCACTGCCCTGCCTTCTCCACCCGGAGGCCCCAGGAGGCAAGGAAGATCTGGGTTCCCACCCAGGGAAGCAAGCAGAAAATGGCCACGCTTCAAAGCTTCTCGTTCTTTTGCTAAGAGGATCCATGCGCTGGGAGCTTGCTAAGTGAGTGCATGCCCAGTCCCCCAGTGGTGGGGTGACCAAGCTCCATTTCAAAGGCAGGCTCTCCGTCGCAGGAGCCACGGGGCCAGAGCGCCTCACCTTCTTCCACCTTGGCTGTTTGGCAACTTCCCTTTCTTCAACAAAACCAAGAACGAGAAAGGAGGCTGGAAAGGTCTGAGCACCCAGAATAGGTGTTGTCCTGCCCTTCCTAGGCCCCTCTCTACTTCAGTCTCAGGAGTCCCCCCCCACACACACAGCGAGCTCAGGTCTTCAGCGCTGCCTTGTCCCCCTCGCTCATGCACCCCCGCCGCGATGGAAGAGGCCTGCTACAGACACTACATACAGCCTGTGGGATTCCACTTACAGGAAGGTCAAAGGCTGGCAAAACTAACCTAAAAGTTCGAAGTCAGCAAAACTGCCACCTAGGGACGGTGCTGTGGTTGGAAAGGGGGCCTGAGGGGGCCTGGCAATGTTCTTTTTTTTTAAGCAAGAGAGAGCCCAAGCAGGGGAGAGTGGGGGGCCGAGGGAGAGGGAGAGAACCCTAAGCAGGCTCCACGGAGCTGGACACAGGGCTCGCTCTCATGACCCTGAGATCAGGACCTGAGCCGAGAGTCAGAAGCTTAACGGACAGAGCCACCCAGGGGCCCCATTGTTCCCTCTCTCGATCTGGGTGCTGGTTTCATGCACATGTTCACTTTATAAGAGAATGTATAGAGCTTGTGATCGGTACACTTTTCTGTGTTACACTTCAACAAAAAGTTTACATTTAGTAAAAGTAGGTGAAATAAAAGAGTTGGCAACAAAAATAGAGAAACTCTAAATAAGTTCTGATATTTAAAAAACAACAGAATAAACCCGAGGGAAGTAGGAGGAAGGAATTAGTAGATAAAAGCAGAAACTATAGGGTAAGGGAACACAGAGATATAAAAACGATTCTGAAAATCCTAAAATACTAAGGCAGAAATGTTGTATCAATTTGAAAAAATCTATATAAAAGGGATGATTCTGTGAGACCATATAAATTAACAAAACTAACTCAAGAAGGGGGGGGGGAGGAAAAAAAATGTCCTAAAAGAGACAGAAAAGACAGCTAACATTCTACCTCAAAAATGGCGAAGAGGCCCCTTAACTGTAAAAACAGTTTCTACTAAAATTTCAAGGGAGGGGTTATCCAAAGCTTATATAAATGCTGACAGTGACGAGGGGGGGAGGGAGCCCACAGGCTAGCATGATCCAGTGTCAACAAGACAAGGGCAGAGCAGGCAAGAAATTATAGGGTTAGCATTTGAAAGTAGACACCAAAAACAAACAAGCAAAACCATTGGCAAAGCAAGTTCAGCAGCATTAAAAAAACAACATATCATGACCTTGCTGGGATCTTCCCCTGGAAAGCAAAGATGGCTCAATATAGTTCATGACATTGACTTTCTAAACAGGCAAAACCTGACACAATCTCAATCCATGTAAAAATGTCATATGATCAAGTCCAATATCATTTCTGGAGGGAGAAGGAAGAAGGGATGGAGGGGAGGAGGAAGGAAGCTCTCAGCAAACCAGGCCTATGAGGAAACTTTCTTAGGCTGACAAAGAAGCTGTACTAGAAACTGCAGCAAATGTTATAACCAAAGGCAAGGGATTAGAAGCCCATTCAGGTGAGGAACAAGATGACGCTCAGGGTCACTGCCACTCTTCAACATTGTCCTTGAGGAACTAGCCAAAGCATGGGGGAGAAAAGAAAAATATATGTAAATATTGGAAGGGAAAAGAGAAGTATCATTTGCAGATAATTATTAATATAGAATGTACAAGAGAATCTACTGACAATATATTAGAAATAAAAGTTTCAGTGGGGTGGTGCCTGGGTGGCTCAGTGGGTTAAGCGGCGGACTCTTGATTTTGGCTCAGGTCGTGATCTCAGGGTCCTGGGATCGAGCACTGTGTCGGGCTCCACACTCAGCCGGGAGTCTGCTTCAGGATTCTCTCTCTCCCTCTGCTGCTCCCCTCTGCCCTCTCTCTAAAATAAATAAATCTTTAAAAAAAAAAAAAAAAAAAGAGTTTCACGGGATGCCTGAGTGGCTGAGTCGGTTAAGTGTCTGCCTTCGGCTCAGGTCAGGATCCCAAAGTCCCGGGATCAAGTCCCGCATGGGGCTCCTTGCTCAGCAGGGAGCCTGCTTTTCCCTCTGCCTCTGCCTGCCGCTGCCCCTGCTTGTGCTTCCTCTGTCTCTCCCTGACAAATAAATAAGAGTTTCGGCAAGCTTGCCAGATACAAAAACATATAAAAATTCATAAATTTTAAAAATGGCAATAAAAGCCATAAAATAACTGGGATGAGATCTAACATACATACACTTATATCAAGGAAGCTATTAAATGTTACTGAAAGGATAAAGAAAATGTAACTAAAAGGAAAGATACATCATATTCCTAGATGAGAAGGAAGTTCTTCACTCCAAAACCATGTTTAAATTCAGTGTAACCCTAATTAAGTGAATTACAAAATTTCTGATGTACATAAACCATGCAGAAAACTCTAAAAATGAGCAAGGAAGAATTTGGCTTATACAACATCGAAAGCTAAAATACTACCACTACACACCCATGAGGATGGGCAAAACCCAGAACATGGCCAACACCGGATGCTGGCGGGGATGTGGAGACACAGGCTCTGCGGCTGGGGATGCTGCACGATGCAGCCACTTTGGAAAACAGTTTGGCAGTTTCTGACAAAACAAAACATACTCTTTCCATGTGATAAGCAATCACTCCCCTGGTTATTTTCCCCAAGGAGCTGAAAACTTCTGTCTACACAGAAACCTGCACACAGATGTTTCTAGCACCCAGAAAACTACTGAGGAGAACAAGTGTATATCTTTAAAAAAAAAAAGAATCTGGGGTTTCCAGGGCCAAAGAGCCTGGCCCCCCTCCACAGCCTCACTGGCCACCATGAGGACAAGGAAGCGGATGTGGTAACTGTGGGGATGGGGTGGGAGGGTGGGGGCCCAGATAGTACCTGTGAGGGGCCACTTTCCCTCCTGGCAACATGACCCTGGAAGGCCTCCCCAGGTGCTTGGTTGTGAGAAATCATTTTAGCAGGAGTCATACTTTGTAGATGAAAGTGGTGATTTAAGCTGCACATTGGCAGGAATTGAATACCCAATTGTAGTAAGTTTACTTGACTATAAGAGGATTTCTTTAGATATCCTGAAATGTTGGCCAGCAGAAGTATTTAACGCGATAGGTGTCCAAATTGGTGGTCGGGTAGTGAATCCAAAATATATTCAGGTGAGCGGGGCATTGCTGTCCCCAAGTAACGGGGTCCCAATTAATGCCCCAGAGCCACACAGAAGTCACTGCCTTGCTCTGATTAAACCTGACCTTGATGTTATCATGGTGGCTGATGGCTGGGGAGGCAAGCCCTCTCCAGCCAAAAAGATGGGCCTGGCCTGAAAGCCCAGAGAACATTCCTGTCCTCTGCTTTCAGGCCCAGAGCAGACACAAGTGAGTGGGCTGTGCAAGCATAGGCCCCTCTGAAGTGTGTGCACAGGGCCTTCGGTCATCAGGCACACCTTCCCTCGGGGCTCAGGTATTAACACAAAGAAAACAGGCCCTGGCCTGTCTGTGGAAGGAGTCCTAAAACAAAGGTTCGGCTCCTCTGTCATCATAAAAAGGATAATTTTTTTAAAAAATTCTAAATGGTTCAGATAAAATACAAAGGTGCTAAATGGGGAGCTATTGCTCAATGGGGACAGAGTTTCTGGGGCGATGAAAATGTTCTGGAGATGGTGGTGCTTGCACAACCATGTGAGTGTACTTAATACCATGGGCTCGGATGCTTAAACATGGTTGAAATGGTAAATTTCACACTGTGTATATTTCATCACAATAAGAAAAAAACACAGAAAATAAATAGAAAACAAAAGAGGTAAGCTCGTAATTAATTGAAAACTTTGGCCATCCAGAAAGAGTCCCTCCCTCCCTAAGCCTGGCCAGCAGGTGCCCAGCCCCCCGGGGCCCCCAACCTCCAGGGTCAAAGCTGGTGTTCTCCCACCTCTTCCCTAAGACCCCAGGGCACCTCAGAAGCTGCCAGAGGTGAGGGAGAGGGCCCTGGCCGACACATCTCTCATGCCTGAACTAGGAGTTACTTGTCAGTTTCCCTGGGAAAAGGTTCCTTCTGCTAAAACGTCTGGAACCACCTGTCCTCGGTTTTACCGTAATTATGATAACATCAGCATCTCTCATGCTCTCACACATGCACACCCCGGGGGCTCCCAGCCTCCGAAGTGACATGGCAGTGGTGGGGAGCTGGCCTGGGAAGCGGGGTGACTGTGCTCCTGAAGTCTGCGTCAGGAGCCAGCCCCAGGATGTGCGGTATCCGTGTATCATCCCGCCCCCTCTGAGCTGGAAGCTTCATTCCTTTATTGCCCTACTGCCTGATTTTTGTCTCCATCTTAGGTTCATTGTGATGATTATCCTGGAAGGTTGGGGCTCTGGGGTCTGTGGGGCAAGGCCCTGGAGGGGAAGGGAGGTAAAGAAACCAGAGTCACTGAGCCAAGGGGCGGCGTTCCCAGGGACGGCCCCTGCCCCCTCTCCCAGGACCAGAGCCATTGGGCAGCAGGGTGGTGAGGAGGCCAGGGATGCTGGGGGCTTGGGGGCCTTGTGCCCAGAGCGCAGGACTCTCCGCTCACAGTAGCACCTGCCTGGCAGACACCATAACTGCCTGCCTGTTTCCTCTCCACAGCCCGTGAACTCTGAGCAATCCCAGGAAGCCTTCATGGACCAAACCGAAGGCACTTTTCTGATCAAATCCCAACAGGGATCATCTTAACCCAGAGCGCTGGTTTTCAATGTTAGATCAGCGTGACCACCAGCAGTTAGCAAGCGCCTCACTCGCCCTCCCACCTGGCTTTCTGCACGGGTGTGTGTGTGTCCCCTTGCCTAGCGAGGCACGGTGGCCTTTTGTCATTTTCTTAGCTCCAGAAGTCGGTCTTCTTTGCCTTCTTTGATGTGACCTTCCACCTCCTGGTCCCGCTCTGCAATTCTACAGCCCACAGGCTCCTAGTGAGGGCAGCACCTCACACACAGGGGCAGGACAGGGGCCAGGGCGGGGAAGCTGGGCCTGGCAGAGGAGGCCGCAGGGGGCTCCCACGGGTCCCTGCGCTCCCTTACCTGTGCTCACGCCAGCCAGGCCACACTCCATCGGCGGAGGCTCCCGGGCACCAGCGCTTGCCCTGCCGTCTGTGGGTGAGAAGGGGGCAGAGGAAGGAGAGCTGGCCAGTGGGGACAAGGACCGAATGGGGCCCCCCACCGCCCTCCTGCCACCTCACAGAATGTGTTCCCTCTTTTTCAAGAGCTTCTCTGTCCCTGACCTCAGTCATAAGTGCAGGGCTTTTGTAAAATTGCACACATACCTGCTAGGCAGGTAAAACAGGCATTATTCCCATTTTATGAGGAGGAAACTGAGGCCAGGGAGGGCCCCTGACATGCCCCGAGTCACAGAACCAGCTGAATGGTGGCACCGGGGGAGGCCCCAGCTCTTCTAACTCCCAGACCAGAGCCTCACACCCACGGGCTCAATATCAGCAGGGTGGGGGGCGAGAGATGCCACCCTAGGAAACTCAGCTAAGCCCGGAGACCCACCCGAGTGGTCGTGGAGTCACCCTGGAACACACCCTCACCGGCCTCTCTCCTTCAAAGTCCCCTCCCGTCCCTATCGCATGCAAGATCACACCCAAGCCATCTGCGAGGGGGGACCCGTGAAAGAGTTCACCCATCTGGGGCTCCTGTGTTTTCCTTGTTTTAATGCTCAAGGTTTTGGGCACGTCCTGCCTGGCTCATTGTCAGGGACAGGTCAGCTGGGGGCCCCAAGCTCCACTGGCTGCCCCTGTACGTGGGGCGCTCTCCCCCAGACCCCTGCATGCCGCTCGCCTTTCAGTCTCCGCCTCAATGCCCCCTCCTCCAAGCAGCCTTCCCTATCACAACCCTAACCCCACTTCACATTCCTCCTTGACACTTTCCGCCACCTGACCTGGTATTTACTTGTCTGCGTAGACCATCAGCTTTCAAGAAGGTGGGACTTATGGGCGCCTGGGTGGCTCAGTTGGTTAAGCGACTGCCTTCGGCTCAGGTCATGATCCTGGAGTCCCTGGATCGAGTCCCGCATCGGGGTCCCTGCTCAGCAGGGAGCCTGCTTCTCCCTCTGATCCTCCCCCTCCCATGTGCGTTCTCTCTCTCTCATTCTCTCTCTCTCAAATAAATAAAATCTTTAAAAAAAATAAAATTAAAAAAAAAAAAAGAAGGTGGGACTTTTCCGTGCTCACTGCTGAATGCCTGGCCTGGGGGATGGCCGGCTGACCTGCACTCGGCGGGGCAGTTCATTGTCTGCACGCAGTGCCATGGGCGGCCTCTCCTAAGCTTGTTTCACACACCTGTACCCGCCTTGTGCCCACACGTGCCAAGGCCCGAGTGAGGATCTGTGGCGCCTGCCCCACACAGCCCAGATGCCCTGCTCCCCCTGCTGCTACAAAGGGGCTTCTCCAGGTGCTGGTCAGGGCTTTCTTCCCGGCACCTCACCTCAGCCACCTCACAAAAAGCCACCTCCTCTTGCTTTCCACCTTGGGCCCTCAAGAAACCTCATCCCAAGGGCGTCGTCGCCCCTCCCCTCTCCCAGGTCCCCCTCCAACAGCCACTGGGCGGGGGGGGGGGGCAGGCGGGCGGGGAGGTGGGGGCAGGGGCATAAGGGCAAATATGAATTTAAAAAAGAAATCATTTTCCTTAGGGCAAAAGGGGAAAAAAACTCTGGCCCTTTCTTTTAGAGCATTTACTTAAGGAAAGTTGTCATTGTGAAAGTCTCTCTGCCCCTTTGAGAGGCATGTAAATCTTTCCCAAAGTTACACAAGCCTCTTGTGAGCTTTACAAACCCCCGCCCCCACCTCCCTCCAAGCCCTGGGAGCCACCTCCTTGAAATGTAAACACCAAGGGAGATGGTGACCCACAGGAGGGTGGGTGGGGGCCTGACTTCCGGGGCTGCCCGGCTCCAGGCTGCAGAACTACCCCCTGTCATAAAGATAGGAGACGCGCCCTGTTCCTTGGGAGAAAGGCAGTTAGCAAACAGGTGGCCACCCCAATGGCCAGGTGAATTTAGGATGAACTCTGGGTGACAAACGGTGCCATTGGGGAAGTCCTCTTGCTGAGGACGTGTTACACTTTGATCTGGAGACCGTGTGCAGCAGGCTGCGTCAGCTGGGCTGTGTAAGGGGGGGGATCGCCTTCAGTTTCCTAATCTCTTAGCGGATTGCCTGTGATGTGCATCTCTTTCTGCTTTCATGCTTATTCGATTAAAAAAAAAAACTTCTCTTTTTCTCCTCCTTTTGTGGGGAGCTTTTCTGAGTTGGCTGGAGATTTTGTTTTTAATTCTATTTCCCCAACAGGGGTATGCTATGCACCCCTACTGTGGTTTCTTACAGATGCTAAAACTGTGGTGCAGAGAAAAAGCAGGCAGGGAGAAGAGGGTAGGGAAAGGCCTAGCGGGAGGCCCCGATGAACGGATGGATGGGTGGGTGGATGGATGGATGGATGGGTGGATGGATGGATGGGTGGATGGATGGATGGATGGGTGGATGGATGGATGGGTGGATGGATGGATGGATGGATGGATAGATGGGTGGATGGGTGGATGGATGGATGGATGGGTGGATGGGTGGATGCATGGATGGGTG